GCGTAGCTCTTTCCAGTCTTCCATACTTTCGCTACTATTTTTTACCGTAACTTTTACTACTAGTGTCTTTTTAAAAAAAAATTAATTATACATGTTGTTTAAAATGTTCAATCTTGTTGTTTGAATTGTTTCACAAAAAACGGACTTTTGAGTTGCAAAATATTCGATGAGGATAAACTTTGACACATTTATCGCATTTTAGACTCTCCAACCGTCGAAGCGCATACCGGTATAGTTGTCGGAAACTGGAATATTTTGCGTATACGCCTTCAAAACTTAGCTTTTTTTCCAAATTCTTCAGGATTAACTTCGTGTTAGCCCTAAAGACAATAATCGGATGATGTAAAAATAGGAATTTAACAACTGCGGTGAAAAAAGATAAAAAATAGCTTTTTAGCTTCAAAAACGAGCTTTTTATGCGAACTCTGCCTCAAATGGCTTTTAAAACTGTACTTTTGAGGGTGCGGCATTGGCATTTGTAGAATAATGGCTTTTGATATCTTCGAGTAATAATTAATGGTTTCTTGCATCCACTTTTGATATTCATCGTTGGCAGTACTGTTGTAGTATGCAATTGTGCCATATAGTGGCCTGTAACAAATGCTGCAGCACAGTACCCTTTAAACGTAAAAATAATAATGTACCGGTGACGCTCTCTTGCTTTATTATTTTTGAGTAAAAATTTTTGGCAAGATTATAATAAAGGTTGGAGAAAGAAAGCTGTTGCAGCGACTTGTTTTGGTGTGTTTTTTACTGCTCGTTTCTATTACTTTTTTCGTAATTTATGGAGCTTACTGCTCAGTTAAATGGAAAGTATCAAATCTACACCTATCGTTACTCGTTGTTGTTTCAAAAGCTGATGTTTAGCGTATACTGGGAGAAGGGTAAGAGCACAAAATGAGGAAGGAAACGAAACAAGCAAGAGTTTAAAATGTCATTTATGTGAAAAATATTTTCTTAGTTTATGTGATTTTGCCCTGATAAATTTTGCCTGTTGCAGGCGTAGCTAGTTGATTCCAGGCAAGTCGCTAACCTTGGCCTTATAAAAATTACTTACTTGAAAATTAAAAATATAATATCGGGTTTCATCTCAGTGATAAGTGCAATGGTTTTTTTGAAGTAGCGAACGCATCCAGCAACATGTTGATCATTTTGGGTTTTAGTAGCATTGAAAAAAGGTTGACAAGCGGGAAAGGATAATAGACGTATTTCTTTGATGTCTTTCTCAAATGCCTCAACTACGGCAAAAAATGCTCTCTGGGCGAAACTGTTTCCTAAAACTGCTACCGACAGTGTCCCGTTGCCCTAAAAAATTTATTAAAGTAACAGAGGAAATTCAAATTATGTAGCTTTTAAATTATGTAGCTTTTTAAAATTATGTAGCTTCAAATTATATAGCTTTTTAAAATTTTTTTTTTAATTTTCAAATTATGTAGCTTTTTAATTATGTAGCTGTCTGGTATGTTAATTTAGAAAACACAAAGCTGTGCTGCAAAAAGGGTTTGAAGTGGCTGTTTTTGAGGTACCACCAGATTTTGCTCTAAAGAACTGATATTTATCAGTTGTCCTCTTTTCTAACAGAATATAAAATTTTGCAGAAAATGTTACCTTGAAATAATCAATAAACCCATTCGGCACTTTAGTTTTCGCAAAGTACGTGGCAAACAAAGGATCTGTTAGGTTAAAGTCTCGTTTATAAAATGGTAGAATAGCTTCCATAAAAAATTTATTTTTTTCAATGGCTCTATTCCGAACAGCATCTGTTATTTTCGCAGGCACATAGAGAAAGTCCCGGAAGTGATAACACTGCTTTCCTTGAAAATACAAGAAGTGAATGTGAAAAAAACAAGCTTTTTTTTCTACCGCTTCTACTGCAAAATATCTTTCTAAAATATTTTTTGGTAGCAGTTTCTGAAGAATTAATAACTATAATATTTCTCGCTAAAAGACCACTTCAACAGCTTTTACTAGAGAAACTGTTAAGCCTCTTTGGCACCCAAAACAAGATTCTTTAATTCTGACTCACTCAATTAATTCGTTTAAAAAACTCCATAAAATGCTGACCAAATCTAGTTTTAGTTTCACTGTCGTTAAAGTAGGTTGTTTTTAAAGAAGATGAGGGAGATAAGTCGTGTGTTATAGTTATTTTGCTGTACAGAATGCTAACCGCTAAAATGCAAACGAGGCAAAGGGTATAAGAAGAATTACACCGCAGAAATCTCTTCTCAACAAAGTGATATGATAGGTACCCGAGGGCAATGGATATTTTCAAGGCGATAATGGCATCTGAAAGTTAGACAGTAGTTTTGAATTACACTAGGTAC